ATTTAATATTGTGGTTGTATTCAGTCTGTCACATTGGGTTTCTTTGTCTATCAGTATGGGGTTTTAATATTGTCAAAGACATTGTGAGCTTATTCCGTCTGTCACAGTGGGTTTGTTTGTCTATCAGTATGGGGATTATTGTCAAAGACATTGTGAGCTTATTCCATCTGTCACAGTGGGTTTCTTTGTCTATCAGTATGGGGATTATTGTCAAAGACATTGTGAGCTTATTCCGTCTGTCACAGTGGGTTTCTTTGTCTATCAGTATGGGGATTATTGTCAAAGACATTGTGAGCTTATTCCGTCTGTCACAGTGGGTTTCTTTGTCTATCAGTATGGGGATTATTGTCTGAGATTGTGAGCTTATTCCATCTGTCACAGTGGGTTTCTTTGTCTATCAGTATGGGGATTATTGTCAAAGACATTGTGAGCTTATTCCATCTGTCACAGTGGGACTTTTGGTCTGTTAGAGCCATTGTGGGCTTATGTACTGTTGACTGTCACATTGGAATTATATCTTTTATTGAGAGGTCAAACAAGCCATCCTTGTGGATCCATTTATTTTGGTATTCTATTCCTTTTATTTAATTAAGTTTTCTTTTTTGTTTTGTTTGTCACTTTGGGAATTGAATGTCTTTTATTGTGGGACTAAACTGTCTGTCTTTCTGGCTCTATTCAATCCCCCCTTATATTCCTTAGACTAGATCTATTATGTTGTCTGTCATTTTGGGAATTGAATGTCTTTTATTGTGGGGCTAAACTTTCTGGCTCTATTCAATCCCCCCTTATATTCCTTAGACTAGATCTATTATGTTGTCTGTCATTTTGGGAATTGAATGTCTTTTATTGTGGGGCTAAACTGTCTGTTTTTCTTGCTCTATTCGATCCCCCTTATATTCCTTAGACTAGATCTATTATGTTGTCTGTCACTTTGGGCATTGAATGTCTTTTATTGTGGGGCTAAAGTGTCTTGTCTTTCTGGCTCTATTCATTTCCCCCTTATATTCCTTAGACTAGATCTATTATGTTGTCTGTCACTTTGGGAATTGAATGTCTTTTATTGTGGGGCTAAACTGTCTGTCTTTCTGGCTCTATTCAATCCTCCTTATATTCCTTAGACTAGATCCATTATGTTGTCTGTCACTTTGGGAATTGAATGTCTTTTATTGTGGGGCTAAACTGTCTGTCTTTCTGGCTCTATTCAATCCCCCTTATATTCCTTAGACTAGATCTATTATGTTGTCTGTCACTTTGGGAATTGAATGTCTTTTATTGTGGGGCTAAACTGTCTGTCTTTCTGGCTCTATTCAATCCCCCTTATATTCCTTAGACTAGATCCATTATGTTGTCTGTCACTTTGGGAATTAAATGTCTTTTATTGTGGGGCTAAACTGTCTGTCTTTCAGGGTTTACTCATTTACCCCTAACATTTCCTTTGTTAAATCTAAGTTTTCCTATTATTTTGTCTGTCACTGTTAAAATTTAATGTCTTTTATTGTGGGGCTAAACTGTCTGACTTTCTGAGTCTATTCATTTTGAGTTAAATATGTTTTCATTATTTCATTCTGTCTGTTTTTTGTTGGGATTTTTATCTACTATAGCCTACTGAGCATTTAAATAAACAAGTTACTTAAAGTTGTTCAAGTAATACAAATGTTAAACAATTACAATCAACATAAAATATATCATCGGATTACTTTTAAATGAATATACACAAAAATAAATTCTTAACTAGAATCTCTTGTTGCTAAAGCAACAAAGAAGGTCTTCCGTTCTCCTCTCTTTATCTGCATGAATGAACTTTTATCTATTTTAAAAAGGCATAAAATATTTTAAATGATTCAGGAAAACAAACGGCCGTAGGTGTAACTTACCAAGATTTGATTCTCAACGTTACGTTAGACAATTATAGTCCTAATAACATTTACAAAAATCAGTTTCAATTTTTTATCACTTTCTGTGACGACCGGAAGTGACGGAGAACGCACTTTATCCTATATCTGTTGCCCAATCTTCTTGGTGTATTATTCATATAAAAGTTTGGTGTTTTGATCTGTTACAGTTTAAGAGATCTCGTAATGTTATCTTCTCACTTTGAGGACAAGAAATCACGTGACCGGTGGTAAATTTTTGAAGAGATTTTTGAGGTTACTATAGACATTTCAGTCTGAATAACATGCCTTAAAATCATTTCAACTGCTCTTTTTATAAAAAAAAATATTAATGGTATAGTACATAATTAAATTTATATTGTTTTTCTCTCATAACCGGAAGTAGTCGTTTTTGTTTCCAGTGGTACTGGCATATTTCATAACTACAAATAAGATGCTATAATGTATTACTAAGAAAGATTCCAAAAAAAAAATGAATTTTTTTATTTATTTGTTCACCTTCTGTGACGACCGGAAGCGACTGCTGACAATGTTTACCCAAATGAATTTGCCTACTCATCAAGATCTATCACTCCTATAATAATTTATCTACAAAAAATATTTATGGGAAAGAAAAATACTCATAATAGGTATTTTTCTCTTATAACCGGAAGTTGCCGTTTTTATTTCCGGTGGTAAAGACATGTTTCAAAACTACAAATAAGATGCTATAATGTGATGCAAAAAAGTTTCCATAAAGAAAAGTTGAAGTTTTCGATTTCTTTGATCACTTCCTGTGACGACCGGAAGTGACGGCGGACAATCTTATTCCTACTGGTTCTGTCAACTCCTCAAGATCTACCATTTGTAAAAGTTTGATGTCTTAATCTCTTACCATTTACGAGATCTAGCTATGATAAATTCTCATTTTGAGGACAGGAAATCACACGACCGGAAGTGAATTTTAAAAAGAATTAGACGTTACTGTAGATATTTGCAGTCTAGATAACAATACATACCCTAAAATCATTACAAATACTTTATCTATAAAAATATTTATTGGAAAGAAAAATATTCAAATTATGCAGTTTTTCTCTTATAACCAGAAGTTGTCGTTTTTGCTTCCGTTGGGACTGACATACTTCAAAACAACAAATAAGATGCAATAATGTGACGCCAAAAAGGGTTCCATGAAGAAAAATTGAAATTTTCGATTTCTTTGATCACTTCCTGTGACGACCGGAAGTGACGGCGGATAATCTTATTCCCACTGGTTTTGTCAACTCATCAAGATCTACCATTTGTAAAAGTTTGATGTCTTAATCTCTTACCATTTACGAGATCTAGCTATGATAAATTCTCATTTTGAGGACAGGAAATCACACGACCGGAAGTGAATTTTAAAAAGAATTAGACGTTACTGTAGATATTTGCAGTCTAGATAACAATACATACCCTAAAATCATTACAAATACTTGATCTTTAAAAATATTTATTGGAAAGAAAAATACTCAAATTATGCAGTTTTTCTCTTATAACCGGAAGTTGTCGTTTTTGCTTCCGTTGGGACTGACATACTTCAAAACAACAAATAAGATGCAATAATGTGACGCCAAAAAAGGTTCCATAAAGAAAAATTGAAATTTTCGATTTCTTTGATCACTTCCTGTGACGACCGGAAGTGACGGCGGACGATTGTATCCCAAATGAATTTATCTACTCATTAAGATCTACCATTCCCATAAGTTTAGTGTCATCATCTCTTACCGTTTACGAGATCTAGCTATGATAACTTCTCATTTTGAGGACAGGAAATCACGCGACCGGAAGTGAATTTTACAAAGATATTTGACGTTACTGTAGATATTTGCAGTCTAGATAACATACCCAAAAATCATTACAAATACTTTATCTATAAAAAATATTTATGGGAAAGAAAAATACTCGAATTATGCAGTTTTTCTCTTATAACAGGAAGTTGTCGTTTTGTTTCCGGTTGGACTGATATATTTCGAAACTACAAATAAGATGCTATAATGTGATGCTAAAAAAGTTTCATAAAAGAAAATTTGAAATTTTCGAATTCTTAGATCACTTCCTGTGACGACCGGAAGTGACGGCGGACAATCTTAACCCAAATGGACATGCCTACTTATTAAGATCTATTACTCATATAAGTTTGGTGTCTCTATCTCTTACCGTTTCTGAGATATGACTTAGACAAAATTATTTTGAAAAAAGCGGAAATCGGACAAATCTGACGACCGGAAGTGAATTTTGAAAAAAGGGAAAAAACGCCTGGGCGTATTTGAGTTCTCTATCATCCCTGAAAATTTCATGAAAATCTGTCCAGCCATCTCTGAGAAATCTTGCCGACAAGATTTGGGGGAAAAAATAATAATAATAAGAAAAAACAGTAGAATCACTATAAGGTCTTCCGTCTGAAACGGAAGACCTTAAAAACAGTAGAATCACTATAAGGTCTTCCGTCTGAAACGGAAGACCTTAATTACAAATTGTCGCCTAGGTTCAGGTCAAAATATGGCGGACGCAAAATAATTCCTGAATTTTCCTCTTTAACTCGAGCATTCCTGCATTGGACAGGTCTGATGCTTGATATGAGATGATAAACCATGTGTAAACTTTCTTAGTATAGCGGAATCATGAACATTTTCGGCGTGATGAATGAATTGTTTACAGTAGCGATGAGGCCACCGCGCAGCTGCGAGCGGATCCAAGGATTTATGAATGAATTAAAAAAGATGGAAATAGAGTTTGATTTCTTTTATTTTATTTAATGACATTATTCATATGCAAGTAAAAGATATACAAGAAAATGCGAGATGCTAATTAATAAATGCAGCTGACAATCTTGTTTTTCTCAAGATAATTTTTTTTAATGAAATAATTATAAATTCTACAGACAAAACATGGGAGGAATGAATGATAGCAAATTATCAGATGACATAAGGGGAACTAAATTTTTTTATGAATGAAACTTTTAAAACGTTACTTGTAAGTTGTATATGTTATATCTGCTAATTCTCCCTGGCTGCACGCTTCCGGCGGGGGGGGGGGGGGGGGGGGCCCCCCGTTCTTGAATATAGACTTGTAAATTACCAGATTATTTTGTAGAAAGAAGTTAGACTTATCATTTTCTTTATTCCAAGAAGAGTGCCTTGTTATATAAATGTCAAGGTCATTTTATGTAGAATGTAAAACATTAAAGCGGAATTAGCATTCATTTCAATAAGTGAGAAAGGCGGGGGCTAGGTCTCTTACAGTTTAAAAAAAAAATGGGGGGGGGGTATAAGATGCACACACATAATACATGTTTCAAACACTTTATTTGCTAAAAACTCGACTCTGTGGAACCAGAGAAGGTTTTCTACAGGTCCATTCCCCGTCCCGGGGAAGACCTTACCTGCACAATGGCACAGTGGATTACCCGCGCAGCCTATTTATGAGAAAATGAAATGAATATTTTTTAGTGTTTAAGGAAACGTTGAACCTACGCTTGCGAAAGTTCTAAGACATTCAAAGATATTTAATTTCTTCTTTATCAAATCAAGAAACTGGTTATACGTTAAATCAGCAAATAGGGGCCTTTACTTATGCCATGAATATCACAGAAAAAGATAGAAAGAAAGACAAAGAAATTTAAAAAATCGACTTTTAATCAAGGTCAAGGTCATTTGGATTTTAAGCTTAAATCGACCATTTCTCTAGTTTTCCAATGACCTTGACCTAATCTTCAAGGTCAAAGGTCAAAACATCTCATGCAGTTGTGAGTCATGGACATTTTCTCTACACCACGCCGTTCAAAGGGAGGTAACTGCAATTTATCTAAGCTATCTAAATTGCGTAGAAATTGATTTGGTAGGGAAAAATCGCTATTTCCTAGATTCATTCAATTAATATTCAATGTAAATAAAATTGAAATAAACTCTGCATACAAAGGAGATCAAGAATACTTGGTATTAAAATTTCGTTTTTGAGCAGGAGAATCGAGTGCTATTGACAAAAAGTGAAGAAATACCCAATACAAGCTTTAATTAATTTTCATGCTCATCAGCACCTAAATTTCAGACAGAAAAAAGATGTAGTTGTTGCCGATGCTCATTAGAATTTCATTATATACTTCAGAGACTCACTGTTAAACACTCAGGACACTTTCTTTGATGTGTCATCTACTGCAATCTTTAAATTTTATGTCGATCTGTGTCGTCGTTTGAACTTTAGAAAATTTTTCTAGGTTCCTATTGATTTAGAAAAAAAAAGAAAAAAGGGGGGGGGGGTTATATAAGCATTTGTTAAAGTGAGAGATGTAAACATCCCCACGGACTCAAGCTTGATTGTGACCTTTGGGGGTCAAAGGTAAAGGTCATTTATCAAGGTCAAGGTCATTCAAAAACCTTTTAAACTCGACTTTAAAACTTGAAGCTGTATCAAGCTAAATATAAAAAAAAATAACTCTTGGGTAAGGGTCAAACTCAAAGGTCAAGGTCATGTGGCATATACAAGCAATTTAAATACTTGTCCAATGACCTTGACCTTTTGACCTTTGTTTTATTTCTTATAATTGGAAGTTTTCGTTGTTTTAATTTTTTTTTTGGTGGAGCTGACATATTTAAAAACTACTAATTAGATGCAATAAAGTAATGAAAAAAAAAAATTGGAAAGAAAAAAGTCGGAATTTTCGATTTTTCAAATCACATCCTGTGACGACCGGAAGTGACGGCGGAGACATTTATCCCTTTATCTGTTGTTCACTCTTCAAGGTTTATTATTCATATAAGTTAAGTGTCTTGATGTGTTACCATAACCAAGATCTGGCTATATTAACTACTCAGTTTGAGGAAAGGAAATCATGAGACCGGAAATCAATTTTTAATAGATGTTTGTAGTTACTCTAGACAATTGCAGTCTGAATTACATGTTCTAAAATCATTTCAAATACTCTTTCTATAAAAGATATTAATGGGATAGTATGAAACTCAAATTATGCAGTTTTTCTCTCATAACCGGAAGTTGCCGTTTTTGTTTCTGGTGGGACGGACATATATCAGAACAACCAATAAGATGCAATAATGTGATGCCGAGAAGTATTCTAAAAAGAAAAGCTGAAATTTTTGATTTCTTTGATCACTTCCTGTGACGACCGGAAATGACGGCGAACGATCTTAACCCTTATGGTTTTGCCTACTTATCATGATCTATTACTCATTCAAGTTTGGCGTCTCCATCTCTTACCGTTTCCTAGATCTCTTTGTGATAACTTCTCATATTGAGGACAGAAAATCACGCGACCGGAAGTGAATTTTACAAAGATATTTGGGGTTACTGTAGACATAAGCAATCTATATAACATATCTAATAATAACTACAAATACTTTATGCATAAAAAATATTTATGGGAAAGAAAAATACACAAATTATGTAGTTTTTCTCTTATAACCGGAAGTTGTCGTTTTAGTTTCCGGTGGGACTGATATATTTCAAAAATACAAATAAGATGTTATAATGTGATGCAAGAAATGTTTCATGCAAGAAAAGTTAAAAATTTAGATTTTTGTATCACTTCCTGTGACGACCGGAAATGACGACGGACGATCTTATCCCAACTGAATTTGCCTACTTATCAAGATCTACCACTTATATAAGTGTGGTGGCTTAATCTCTTACCGTTTACGAGATCTAGCTATGGTAACTTCTCATTTTGAGGACAGAAAATCACGCGACCGGAAGTGAATTTTACAAAGATATTTGACGTTACTGTAGACATCTGCAGTCTGAATAACATATCTAAAAATCATTTCAAATACATTACGTATAAAAAATATTTATGGGAGAAAAAAATACTGAAAATATGCAGTTTTTCTCTTATAACCGGAAGTTGTCGTTTTTGTTTCCGGTGAGACTGATATATTTCGAAACTACAAGCAACATGCTATTATGTGATGCAAAAAAAGTTTCAAAAGAGAAAAGTTATAATTTTTGATTTCTTTGGTCACTTCCTGTGACGACCGGAAGTGACGGCAGACAATCTTAACCCAATTAAACTTGCCTACTCATCAAGATCTATTACTCATATAAGTTTGGTGTCTTAATCTCTTAACGTTTTTTAGATCTCACTGGGATAAAATATTTTTGAAAAAAGCGGAAATCGGACATATCTGACGACCGGAAGTGAATTTTGAAAAAATGAAAAAAACGCCTGGGCGTATTTGAGTTCTCCATCATCCCTGAAAATTTCATGAAAATCTGTCCAGCCATCTCTGAGAAATCTTGCCGACAAGATTTGGGGAAAAAAATAATAATAATAATAAGAAAAAACAGTAGAATCACTATAAGGTCTTCCGTCTGAAACGGAAGACCTTAATTATCTCAAATAATATACAAGATTAGATATGTACCTTTTCATTACTGAATAAGTTCATTCCACCTTCTGAAAAAACTTGTCCACTTTCGAAAGAGGATAAAAAGGAAAATGATACCAATACCTAAGATCATCATAATTATGATACTTGTCACTAATATCATCAAAAGCAAAACCTCCATTTCTCTCCCCATAAAAATCTGTGTCATTCAGAGTCTGTCGAGTGTTCCATGTCAGTCTGTCATTACGGGGATAAAATGACTAACAGAGTGGGCCTGGGCAGTCAAACTAGGTTTACTGTTGAATGTCTCAATTGAGCCAATGAATTTAAATTAATTTGAAAAAGAAATACCAAACAAAAATAAAATTAATTACATTCTTACCTTAATATCCACTAATTTCCTTTTTTTTACTGCTGAATATACTTATTAATAGAAAAACCACTGAGGTTGCAAAAAAACAAAACTGCACTAAATTCCATTTGTAAAAAAAATACTAAACAACTATAACCATATATTTCAGTTTCTAAAACATCTATATCCATGTCAGAGCAAAATGCACATGCTTGAGAGAAATCAAGATCAGAATGAAATAGAATAACTGCACATGGCAAATCACAGTCCTCCATTTTGAATGTTTGTGACATGTGATCGATTACTTCCTGTTTTGGGTATTAAAATAGAATTTCAATAAATCAAATAATTCTATTTATACACGGGGCAAAGCTTAAAAAAATTTTGTTTGCAGTTGCTGACCTTTTATCTTAAGAGTGGGTCAGTAGGTAGGAATTATTTTTTTAAAAATAGATATCAAGTTTTTGTTGGATTAAGAACCCCTCAGACAGAGATTTTCATAAGATTATTGTTGGTAAATAAAGCTAATTACTTTATGCCACTTATTGACAGAAACAAAATTTTGAAAATAGACATAAAAGTTTCAACATCCTAAAAAATTGAAACTTCATGTTCAAAAAAAAAAAAAAAAAAAAAAAAAAAAAAAAAGACAAAATAACAAATAATGGCTGTAAAAAAAGTTTGAGTCGGAGGCATTTTTAGTGGGTTGGTTGGCAATTGCAAACAATTTTTTAATATAGCCCTGAATATTCTTCAAAACTAGACTGTGTTGTAATAACAAGAATGCTTCTGCAGACAGCCAAAATTTCAAATGCTACATGTACAGGGGATGACATGAGAATGTGTGAAATCATTCAATTCAAGAAATAATACTTGAAGCAAGCGACTAAAACACGGCGGCCATATATCAAGGTTTTTACAAAACTTGTTATGTATCCTGTAGTTCTTTCTCAGAATTTTCTCAGTCACAGAGCAACAGTTCAGCAGTTTAAACCGGTAATAAGAAAAAAAAAATCATGTAATATTCATGTACAGTGAAGTCGCCAATTCCGGGTCACGTCAGGGTGTATAGTTGATATTTTGCAAATCTGTTCAATTTATATTTTATGAAATATATGTATTGAAAGAACAAATATTGAGTCATCCAAGCGCCTTTTCTTTTCAAAGTAGCTACACATTACCCATTTTTGTTATTATGATTTAAATTACATGAGACAATCCCTCTTATAAATGTAATGCAAAAATAATATCTCTTATATATATATGGATTCCTATACTCTAATCATATTTAATGTCATTTGTAAAAATGTATTTTTTAAAGACAGATTTATTTAGGATAGTCTTTAAATGATGACATGAATAGCAGGCCATACTTTAAGCACATGACAAAAACATTCTCTCAAATTACACAGAAATGGGTCGTTTAGCATAGCTGACATTAAACATATAGGTGAGGGATAACATAATCACAATCATAAACAATGTGAAAGAACTTTAAAAGACCTACACGATGGATTACAAGCCTTTTTTCACTGGGGTAAAATCTCGGCGAGATTCGACAATGGCCGCCTAATTTACATAGAAAATTACGGCGTACTTGGAGACATAAAATTTTTTTTTAAAAAGTGACCTGGTGTTATAACTTGAGAGAAACACAATGTTTCTTTTTGACTGTACAGAAGGTACTCTTTTCTTTTTCTTTTTTTTTTGAACACACACACAAACGTTTCGTTTTTTCTTTGACTGTATTTTTTAAAAGATCATCTTTTTTTCTAAGATACGATCGTTTCTTTGACTGTATTTTAGAAAAAAAAAGATCATCTCTTTTTTTTCTAAGAGACACACACAATTCGTTTCGTTTTTCAACTGTTTAAGTAGGCATCTTTTCGAAAGATTTGGTGGCCGTGAAAACGGCCGTTTGTATAAAACACTTTTTGGTTTTGTTTTTTTTTGGTTTTGTAATTTTTTTGGTTTTTTTCTGGTTTTGTTATCAGGTGGGGTCAGGTGGCTCCCTAGGCGGCCAATAACTCCTGAACTAAATGGCCTATGGAAGGCTCATCATCATCGCTTGAAGAATCATCTTCACTCCCCCTAAATTCTGGTCTAGTGGTTAGAGGTACAAGGAGACGGCGCTGATTTCGGCAGAGGGGGCAGCCCATCCTCTGCTCCACCAGACGAGCAGCACATAGTAGGCATGCCGGCCTCTGTATACATCTGGAACAACAAAAATTATTTTCTTCGCTGTCTATCATGCATAACGAACAGAAAATTCTATCTAATGGAACTCGGAATCCCCAGGTCGGGATCTGTCCTTGGTTCCGGGCCTGTACCTGGGGGGTAGGACGAGGAGCAACAGCCGGTCTTGGCGGCGAAGGTGAAGTTCTCCCCCTGGTGTTCACCCTGGTGTAGGGGTGGCTCCTCCTGGTTGGCGGCTCTAGGAGACGAACTCTGGTAGTATTAAAATGCCCAATCTCTGCCCCTGTGTCGATTCTCCTAATGATGACACGGTTCTCGATACTGATCCCCGGAATTAACCATATATCCTGAAAAAATTGGTCACCCATCTTTTCTTTTCTTCTTACTTCTGTTCTTCTGTGTGTTTCAATAAAATAAGTCAAGAAGGAATGATACTGAAACCAGGGAGGGGCTGTATTTATTTACAATAGCAGACGATAGTGCAATCGCGTGCGAAACATGGAAAAACCAATCATGTGATCAAATGTGATTGGCTAAAAAATAATCATGCCATTTGGTAAACACGCCCATCACAGTGAGAAAGCAAAATTGAGGGGGGAAAGGCCGAACCCGAGTGTATCTATGACGTCATACAATAAACATAACAGTAATGTAGTATTACAAGATTTTTTTTTATTTTGTTTTATTTGTTAAAAACTAACAATGCTTCTAACTGTCGAATTCTCCTCCGAAATCGTATTCGATCTGCTACTCATTGCATCCAAGGGGGTGGGGTCTAGTCATTCGTAGATTTGATTGAAGTTTTGGCATTTAAAAACGTCACGGATTTTTTCTTAACCCTGTGTGAAATTTCCAAGGTATTCCGTATTGAATACATACTCTTTTTTTTTCTTTCCATTGCATCTATGTCCTGCCACAGTAAAAAATTAATTATTTTTTTTATTCTCATGTTTATACCCCACGTAGGTAAAACGTATTGATGCACACGAACCCCTTACAGGTGATGCAACAGGTATAGAAAACGCAGGTTAAAGGTGCACACGGTCCCTAATTTTTGCACACGGTTCTTTATAGAGGATGTAACAGGTATATAAAGCCCAGGTAAAAAAGGTGCACACGGCTCATAGCAGGTATATAAACTAAAAACTGTAAAATTTGATGATCTTTCTGCGTGAGCACTTCGAACTGGACACAGGTGAAAAAAGAAAGCAATGATGAATACTTCAGAAAATTCCCAGTATTATGTGACACCTGAAGGATATGAAGGACCATCCTTGACAGAGTTAATAAAAGACGCCGTGGATTTGGATTTGAATTTGGACATGGTTAATTTTCCTGAGGACATGAATAAAGAAGAAGATATGAGCATTTTAAATACCACTTTGGACGGAATTGTGAACATGCTATCTGCTCTGGATAACAAGATGAATGATATGAACACCAAGGTGAGTGATCTTAACAAAAAGCTGAATTATATTGCTGAGAAGGTGCGTCATCATGACAACAAGCTGAATTATATTGTTGAGAAGGCAAGTGATCATGACAAAAAGCTGGATAAATTGAAATGTTACATCAGCAGTGGATTTTGTTACATTAGTGGCCTATTATCCCCAATCATAAAGTCATTCACGGGGAAAGAGACAAAAATGAGAGAAGAAGTAGGAAACACTGACCAGAAAAAAGAAGAAGGGACCCAGGGCGGATCAGGAGAGAGTAAGAAACAAATGGATCCATGCTATGTATTGTTAAAAGACATAGAAAAAAACCTAGGGAAACCAAAAGGAAATTACCCCTGACCAGTGAGAAGGCCCAGAAGAAACAGAAAATGTAAATGTATTTTTCACTTGAATAAAATCTGTGTTCTAATCTATATTGTGTGTGTGTGTGTGTTCTTGTTTTCACTAAAACCAGTTCAAACCGGTTATAGGGCTGTCTAGACTGTGAAGCGTGACGTCATAATCACATTCTTGCAATGTTTTGCACACGGCGCATTTACCTGTATAGTCAGCATAAACAAAACGTAGTACCTACGTACCAATGTAAAAACACTGTGTAAACAACTCCAGTATTTAAGGGGAATAGGATAGGGTTTTTAAAAAGGGGTTAGGGTTAGTTAGGGGTTAGGGTTAGTTAGGGTTAGGGGGTTAGGGTTAGTTAGGGTTAGTTAGGGGGCTAGGGTTAGGGTTAGGGGACTAGGGTTAGTTAGGGCTAGGTAGGGTTAGTTAGGGTTAGGGGGGGTTAGTTAGGGGGATAGGGTTAGTTAGGGTTAGGGTTAGGGGGGTTAGGGTTAGGGGCTAGGGGGTTAGGGTTAGTTAGGGCTAGTTAGGGGGTTAGGGTTAGAACTCCACTCAGTTGACCCATTTATCCCCTTCACCAATCAGAATTGATCACGTGATTTCTCTCAGCCAATCAGAATCCTCCCCTATCTAGACAGTTTATACTACTTGTATGTATGTGCATGATTTAAGTTTCAAGATAAGAAATGTATTTAAAAATTATGTATATTCTAATA